ATTAGGTATAAGCACTATCAGTGCATACTTTGTTATTGCCATCAGACTTCAAAAAAGAATAAAAGAGCAGAAATAGCTTTACATATCCCACTTCGGATTTATCGAGCCTTATGTATGACATTGATCAAAAGATGAAAGAATCAGTTCACCTATCAGTTTCTCCAGCTGTCGAGGCAGAGATTTCTATACTCTGAAAATAAAGATCTGCACTTTTGGAGCAGAAACTGAGTGCTAATCCTGGGTTTGACCTGACCTCCAAACAGGCTGTACCGGGCAGGACACAGGTCACTGTGAGTGCTGTGTCAGTGCTCTTGCTACCATCCATGCTGAAGTCGCCTAACAACTTGGACATGAAGAGTCAGCTGGTCCTAACACTGAAATTCTAGAATATTGCTCAAAAACTCACCAGCTAATAGTTTAAAGGGAGTGATTTAGGGGAATCAGGAAAAAAAAAAAAGAAAAAAAAATCAGGGAAAAAAGATAGACCCAGTAAAAAATGAGAGTCAGTAAAGCACGCCTTCCTCCAACACTTGTGACTTCTTCAGAGTGACAGTGGATCACTGTGTGACTTTAACCCAATCCCTCAACTTCTCAGAGTCTCAAACTCTCTGTATGAAAGATTGAGAGAACAGCTGGCTCAAAGAGATGCTGTGTATGACTTACTAGACAGTGATGAGATCAGACAAAACCATCTTGATTATTTCTCTGGATTCCTAACCTGTCCCTACAGGTAGGGGACCAAGCCCTGATGTCCTTATTCATTTCCTATTGTATCCCTTGGAGGCAAGCTTGATAAGCTTGTACTGAATATGCCTTGATAAGCTCTAAGGACTAAGTCCCTGGAAAAGTTACTTTCCTGTAATGTAAGCCACCATCACAGATCAATAAAGACTAAAAAATCCTGTATATGTAGATCTAAAAAACTTATATGCCATCTGTTACCCATAGGAATGGGAGTTGGAATGACAAAGAACTGCATCTCACAACATTTCCTCTTCCATCCTAAGAATATCCTCCAAAAGTTCCTAAGCCTGTTTGATATCTCTACACTTTTAAGACATCCTGCATACTAAGAGCACCCTGTTTTCTGACAGCAGCATACTCTGAGGACTAACCATTAGATGAATAGATTAGGTGACTAATAGAGATCTCAGCTGAACTGGGAAACAAAGTGAACCAAGTAGTGCTGATCTGCTGGGCAGGCTGACAGGACTAATAAACGTGGAAGAGGAATATGTAGGCTACAGTTTCTGTGACTTGAGAGATGGTACATAAGAAATTGCTGGACAGCCTGAAAAGGAAGATTAGAAATTTTTTCACCAGGGAATGGCCTTGCATATATGTACATTTTTATTATATATATATTTGTGTGGGCATACATGTGTGTACATGTGAGTATACACATAATATGCAAGTAGACATATGAAATTGATTGCTAGGAAATACACAAAATATTTTTGAGGACTTGGTAACTAAAAGAAGAGCAATTAAGATGCAGTTGGTAAACTGCATTCCCCACTGAATACGCTCTCTAGGGTATATTGTGCTACTCTGGAACTGGAATAGAGATTCCCTTGCTCATTCCTAAACTACACAGAACTTGCTCCCTTATTTTTGTAGTCCTATGTTTGGATACCTTAGTTTTGTGGAATGACACCTCTTTATTTCCATCTGACAGAGAACAAAGACAATTCATATCATAATAATAAAATCCAACAGGGATTCTTCAATTGAATCATTTGCTTTCATTTAAAGACATAAATCAGAGTGGGCTCTTTTTAAGATGCTTTGTCTGGCAATGAAGAGTGCATTCGGGATACCAGATAACAAGTACACTGAGTAGGAAAGAAGGACATGGACTCTCCATTGCTTTTATTGCCTCTCTGATTTTCATAGATGGAATATCTATTCATATCTTCTCAGCAAATATCCCATCACTTTGTGTTTCAATAAAAGCTTGAGTGCAGTTCCCTGAAGACATGAAAAATTAGCACAACTTTGCAAGTGACCTTTCTCACTTCCTTGCTGAATCATGCGGTTTTTATTCTTATGCAAGAAAAAGCAGCCCAGCAGAGCTTCCTGCTACTGAGTGACTACTCAAAGATGATACTGGACCCTAAATTGTCAAAATATAACTACCTGCATACACAGCTTTATACATACACTCAATAGCTGCATCCACCCGGAAGCAGGTATGGACAATGGCTTGCTCCCCTGAACAAATGTACATGTGAATATGGAAAAATATAAAGTGAACATGTTGCCTGCACTGAATCTATCATTTCTGTGATCAAAGTTTGTCTGAGCTTATATTTGCAGGAGTAAATTTAGATAGTACATCCAGGGGACAGGTTGTTTGATATTAATAGCTATTTGTAAAATGGCCTTCTAACAGGATAGCCCAAACCAACCTCCTGCTCACAGAAGTAAAGCAGTCAATGTCCATCCACTGGCTGGTTGTAACCTAACCAATTAAGAGATGATTTTGTAAATCTCTCAAACCCAGAACAAGTAATATGGACCACACTGATTTTCCATGAGAAGTATAACATGAGAACCTCTGTGTCTCATGCTCTGCATGCATGGAACAATCAGATATCCTGCCACTGTGTATACCTAAGTTTACAAGTGCTCTTTCTAAAAACATTGCCCAATGTCAATAGACAATTCATGTCAGTCATGTAAGCTTTTATTATTGCTAAACTCAATTTTCAGCTAACAGACAGAAAGCCTTTACCTCACTCTGCAGCATATGGGCTCTTTTGGCCCATTTCATCTTCATGTCTTCTGGGATTGCTGTGAACTCATGGAGCCTCTTTCGGTAATCCTGATCACTTGCCAAGGCCTGGGCTTTCTTAGCATGGACAAGATTCACCATGTCCATGGGCAGACAGTACTTAGACCACACTCCTTGGGAACCTTTCTTATACTCCTGTTCACTCTGCAGTTTCGCAGCATGCAAGCAATGCAGCAACCTGGTATCATCCAGAACACTCCTGGCACCAACGTGCTTTCCTCTCTCCATCACAAAGTTGTGTTTATATTGGTACTTAAGAAAAAAAAAAAAAAAAAAAGGTAAGAGTGCAAGGGGCCAAAGTTAGACTGATTATACTATCTAATTAATTTAGGATAAGTCATTGAAACACCTATGCTGACTGGAGAGAGAAAAAAAAAGCCAGGTCATACAGCAGTAGAAAGTAATTGTTTGAATATCTCATTGCTCTCAAGTTTAGATATCACAGTAGTTGTAACATTTAAGTCGAGCACAACTCGATACATGCTCTGAATATGCCCAAAGCACAGATCATGTTTAACCTCAGATCATGCATTTTTATTTTATCTCCCATAGAATTATATTTCCATTACTAGGAATAAGAACATAAAAGAAACAAACAAAAGAAAGACAAAAAAATCTATATAAGAGAAACACCATGCACTCTGTAGCCTTCAGATTTGCAAATGCCACACAGCTATTTGAAAGAGTAAATTCAGCTTTCCTGGATCAATAACGATGTTGAGAAGCCTAAGACGGTGGTCTGAGCACAAGAATAAGCACCAGCAACCCCTCATCCTCATCTTAGCTGGGACTGTGACTCTGCCTATGATCTTGCATTTATCCTCTCTGTGAAATGGTGATGATGATGATAATGATTATTTATACAGCATCAACAGGGTGTTTAGAACTTTAAAGAGAAAGCCTGGGCTCTGAAGAGTTCATAATGCAGTTGAAATGGGATAATAACACTTATCTACCACACAGGAGAGTTGTGAGGATTAAATTACACTAGCTAATGTTTATAAAGTGCTTCAAAGATGAAGGGCCAAATTCAGATCTGTTGTAAGTGGATGTAATTCTATTAGGGACTTGTACCCTTTAGAGCAGATCTGAAGCTATAACCAAAAACACTCTGCAAAATATGGTTAAGTATACACTGTAAATTAGATATAGTTACCTCATAGAACAAATACACATTACATATATTCATATTTTATCACATTAGAGAAAAAATGTACCTCAAGGCTACACAAAAATAAGAGAGTTTTTTAAAACAATTTTAGTTTAATTGTCAGTGATTTTTATAATTTATTTCTCAAATTTCTTGCAAGGAAGAGATGAAATTATACTTTCTGAAGAAAAGATACTGCCATGTCTGAGTGTTTTGCAAATAACAAGCCAAGTAAGAAAATGTTTTTAAGGGTAAGAAAATTTGTTTTCCTTCCTTCAGAAATTAAGAGAACACATTTAGAGGAGCATCCGCCAATTTTCACATCCTGACCAGACAGCCAGCTCTTGATTTTCAAACACTCAAAGAACACTCAGCTTCCTGTGACTTCATTTCAACTCTGGGGCTCCAAGCACTTCCAAAAGGCAGCTCAAAGCTGGTGGACAGAATTAGTGAGATATGATAGTTACCATATGAATAGCTGAAAGCCCAGAGAGTTGGGAGAATCTCTTTGATTTGTCTGTCTGTAAATACTTTAATTCACTAGCTATTTCCCATTGGAAGATGTTTAACCAAGCCTGGTTCCCTATTATCAGTGATTTTTTTTTTTAATTCACACAAAGAATCTCATTCATAAGTAATATATTCTGTCTCACACTTGTCTCACATGGTTATGGAGCTACTTTAATTCAGTGAAATCTGCTTTAGACATTGTTTTACATGTAGTTAACAGAAATTAGGCAAGATGGAAGGTTGAATCATTCAACTCACATCACTAGCAATTTCTCTGGAGGCCTTGGCAGCCTGGAAAGGCAGCGCTTCCGTTGTCAGCTTGTAGCCTTGAGCACGTAGATTATGCCAAGATTCTCTGTATTTCGCCTAAAGTAGGAAAGGCACATGTAGATTGCTGTTTCACTTCCAAATGCTCAAAGGAACAAACAAAGTAAGTCTCTTTCATTTGTTATTCTGAGTTAGAGCTTCATTCCTCATACTCAAAGGATTTTTTTTTAATTATATTCACGAAATGCTACGAACTCAGACAAAACATGTGTCTCATTCCTTATGTAAATTTAATTTACTCACAACTGCATATATGTTAGTGGAGATAGATATTGTTAAAATAAAACTGAGGAAAGCAAAAATACAACAGATCTAAAAATTCCTTGACTTATCCATCATTCTTTGCCATGTGCAACTCATCCCCCAGTCCAAACAAATAAAACAAAACAAACTCTTACATCACTGAGGTTGGCTGCATTTATTTTTGCCCGTGTAAACTCAGGCAAACCCAGTGTTGGTGTATAGTGATGTTGACTGTCCTCTCCTGCTGCTTTATAAAGGCGCTAGAAGGGATCAAAAATGAAAATGCAATCATTTTTCTAATGTTTGAAAAATATAACAAAAATTCCTATTTGTTACTTAAGTAGTTTGTAGTAATGACAATCATTTTCAGCCAGCTCCAAAACAGCTAAGAATATATCAATACAACTGTAACTCCATTTCTCTCTCTCTCTCTTTTTTTTTTTTTTTTTTTAAATTTAAAAATTTTTTAAATTAATTGCTGAAAATACCAACCCACTATATTTTCAGTCTTGCATTAGTAGGTTCCCAGCAGGCCAAAAATAGACCTAAGAATGTTAACAGCATCATGAATATGTATTAAAAAAAGGCTGGATATTTCTCAAAGACTGTTCATATTGTCTCACTTTTATTCTTTCTCATATTATTGTAGATAATTTGTTCATTAATTTTGTCTTGTTTTCAAAAATTAGTGGATTCTTTTCCAAGAGGTTTCTAAACAGGCCACACTATTCAAGGGCACTCCTTCAAGAACACCCAGACTCATATTCTGAGGGTTTGCTTAATGTATAAAAAGACTGATAATCGGACTCTATTATATTAGCAATATCTGGCACAAAGATTGAATTTAAAAATGGTGCTAAATGTTTGTCCAGGAATAATATTTTTTTTGTGATCTAACTCTGCCAAAGCAGAAATCAATGATGTTTCCTTTCCTTTTGATACATTCTGTTTTTCAGAACAAGGCTGTCTCTCTCTCTCTGCCAACCCTAGCACCCTGCATTTTGAAAAGCATATTTTCTGATTCACATTAGAAGAGCCTACCTCATTAGCAATCATATTGCTGAATTTTGCATGAAGGAGGCCAGGAGAGTCTGTCACCGATGTGTACTTGAAGGAATGTGGATGCTGACGATATTTACTCTGAGTTCACACAGAAAGAAAAACGAACAGAAACACTAAATAGTGTTGTCAGTTAAGGGACTTTTTTCCAATACTAGTGCTCAAGCATTGCTTCTTGTGCTTAAAACATTGTTTTGCAAAGGATACTCATCTATTAACCAGTATGCTAATTTACCTTTTCTATTCTGTTGCATTCTTGTCTCACTAGGGGAAACTAAGAGTAAATAAGGAATTCTGTGTCAAAGAAAAATGTACTGCTTTGTTGAATATACCAATTAGATTATTTCACCCTTTCATGTCACTAACCCCGGCTAATGAAGTTAGAGGGAATGCAATACAACCCAGACTGAAGATGCTACACAAGCCTGCTGAACTTTTTGGTGGGAAAGATGAGATTCCATCTGGTCAGTGGTGCTACACAACATAAGTGCAAGCTCACTGCAGTTATTCACATTACTAGAATGCAACTTGCACATCTACGTGATGGCAATAGATCCAAGACTTGAAGGCAGCAGTGTAAGGAGAGAACATGACAGAGGAAAGGAGAATCTGATTACAAAGCAGTGAAAGAATAGGACACAAGGCAGCTAGTAAAAAACAGACTAAGATTACAAAGCACTAAAAAAAATAGTGTAATGATAACTCTGGCACTAGGCACTCAGAGTCAAGTAAATTTTGGAGAAATAGTACAAGGTGCCTAACAGAGTGCAAGAATTATTTTTAACTGAGGAGGCACTTTAAATTTGAAATGGATCACATTAAGTAACAACCATCTGGGTCTGAAACCCAGGAGAAACCATTTGTGAAAACAGTTAGCAAAGTCTGCAAAACCTTGAACTCCATCAGGTTCACCCATCTGTAGTTAGGACACGAATGGAGTGATCAAATGGAAGGGGAGGGAGCCTAGCATTACCCAGTGAGTCACTTTGCCAGCCCAGTTTAATAGAAAGACATCTGGCAAACTCTTGTTTGTAGCGGAGAAATCAAAACCCTCTTTTGTTACCTCGCTGATGAGTTCAGAAGCTTTCTTCTTTTCTTCAATCTCTAGGGCCCCTGGAGTAATACATCCAACTCCTCGCATAAAGTTCATGTCAGAACGGTATAAATTCTAAGGGAAAAGCAGAAGTAATTACAAGTTTGCATTTGAGATGCCCTATATTTATTCATTGAAATATACACAATACAGTTATTCAAATAAACCCATTAGAATCTACTACAAAGAGTTAATATACTTTGCCCTATGTTCTTGTGCTTGTGTCTGCATGTGTGCAAATATAAGATTTGGAAGAGAACTAAATCCCATTAACACTGAATGATACTTGGGCTCCAAAATTCCACTTTTCTCTTTGAAAATAAACTTTTCCTAGATATATAATATGTATACATACATAATATATAAAACATATCTCTATATTATTTATGTTTCCATGTATATATAAAACTAGACTAATTATATTTTTCAATAAATGTTGTGATCTTTTAATAAAGTCACATTTGAGACAAAACACCATTGCTTTTAAACAATTCTGAATGCTCATAACATAAGCAGAGAAAAACAGCACTGTGCCACTGTATCGATGTTGTTAAAATGTTTTCCAGACCATCAAGTAAGTCATTGCAAATATTAGTTTTTCAAATACGACCAATAGCTTCAAGCTAAATACATTAAGACAAACACTGTTGCATCTCATGATGAGAAGAGTGATGATATGGATCAGAATCATTTTGTTTTCTGCTCCTCTATAAAGGCCAAACCAGTAGTAAACACAGTTCTGCCTATTTGATGCACACATGGAAGCTGCTCCTGCTTACTAAGGGAAGAACTAGCTGTACTTAATACGAACTTCTGAATCAGCAAGCTACTTGTAACGAAAATTCTACCTTCATTTTATTCAGCCATGTGGGAGAACAGAATCAACTCCCCTTTCACTGTCTCATGTACAGGCCTCTCTGGTGTTAGGCACCGTTAACACATCACAGTGCTGTGTACAGGAAATATTGTTTGTGAGTAAACAGAAAGGACAAAAGCCAGGCCTCTTTATTCACCTGCTGCCAGCTATTAGAGATGGCTGGTAAGAGAGGTAAATGCTACCCTAAAAAGTGTTGTTGACAATTAATGCTTTACTAGTAGCTCGGAAGATGGGCATGGAGGGAAATCTGCCTCTCAGTCTCTCTTTATATGTGCTTTCCCAGCACAACTGGCAGCTCATGTTAACACTTGTTGGAATACTGTCTGCCATCTTTAAGACTGTTAAAAGTTTAAAACTGATATACAGGGGCATTTTGGTCCAGATTTGTTTTTAAGATATATTCTCCAGGCAATATAACCTATTAGATGCCCTTTGCTCACAGTTGTGCCTACAGACACAACCTACCTTTTGATTTGCAAGGCATTATCCAGTTAATCCTACTTGAGATTACATACTGGCTAAATTCATCCTTGTTGGAATTTCAGTGGTTATATCCTGGGCCATAGTTCACTTTTTTTTTTTTCCACAAATCTTATATATTTTTAACCAACAGGCATCTTACTTGTGGAAGTACACATTAATTATGCCCAGATACAAACCAACTCAAAGACCGAAGGGTCAACAGTTTGCATGGTTAACCAGACCTTAAAAAAAGAGTATTTCTCTAACAGTACAATCACCCCCATTTGAAAATACTTCTCTGTCCAACCATCAAAGGCTACTGTACATTACATCTTGGAATGGTGTGATACACGCACTGTACAACTGCTTAATAGGGTAAATATCTCATTCCTGAATGTAAGCAAGGGAGAACAGCCCTTTTTCATTCCTCAGCTGCTGTTTTCACACAAACCCAGCAGCTGTCACGGCTTGGAACAGACCTGTCTAGCACCAGACCGAGCAGGGAAACACCATGGGGATGTTTCGCAGTTACCTCGCTCTGTAGTTTGTGCGCGTTCTTGGCACACCGCAACCTCACATCATCAGTCAGAGAAGTGTACTGGGGCAGCAGCTGCCTGTATTCCTGCTCACTGACCAAAGACTGGGCTTTCCTGGCATGTACCAAATTTATCATGTCCAGTGGCAGATGGAAGTGAGTCTTGGTATGCTCAAAATCTTGCTTATATTTCACCTAACAAATTAAAAAAAAGATCACATATATATCACAGCATGGTAATTGAAATTCAGGTTTTAATCAAAAGAGACATTCTCCATACTTATCCATTTTCCAGTCTAAACTGAAATGTAAGTTCTCTAGTATATGTAACTGTACTGTGAATGACCAATATGAACAATTAGACTATGCTGCAGTCTATCCCAGGTCAAAATAGTATCCATCTACATAATATTTAAACAAACTGAGTTTTTTTAAGTAATTTTCATTTTTTAAACTGGATACATCTAATCCATAAAATTATCGAAATACCGATAACTACCAAACTATCGAAATTCTTAATTTGCTGCATTTCCAGAAAACACAACAAAAAGTCGAGGTTACTGCCTGAAGATAACACCCAAACAGCCATATTTGAATATGAATCATTCCAATTCCTCAGTCAAAATATTTGTTGATCTCAACAAATTTAACTAGGTTTATTTTATATTTTTAAATATTATCTTGGGTCGGGGTGGGGGCCAGGGAGAGTTACTCCACCTATTGGCTCTGGCAAGGGAAAGAAAGCCCTAGGAATCTTCATGGAATTTTTTTCACACAAAATCTGCAGATAAGATTAAGCAAACTTCAGATGTTCAGACAATTCATCCAGAAAACGAACATCTGAATTGCTGATGTTTAGAGTAATTTGGCAGATAGCCAAATTCTTCAGACACTTATTGTTGTCTGCACAAATCTAAGTTTACCATCCCACAAGGAAGTACCCTAGTATGAGCTCACCACTCACTGAAATCCATGAACATATTCCCATCTATATTCACGATCAGGCTTTAATTTTGGTAAGGGTATAAACAGTTCTTGAGAATACTTATTTGTAAGAAAAGTAATCTCAAGATTACTTATTTAAAGTCAGACAAACTTTTCACTGCTTTCTGGATTAAGTCACAGTGTTTAAGAGGCACTGAGAAGTCTAAATATTTACACAAAATGAATGAAATGTGATTCTTAGCATTTCTCAAGACCAAACGGGAACCACAGTATGACCAAAAAAAAAATGCAACTTCAAATTACATAATCTCATTTATTCTATAGTCTTTCAAAAAAAACAGTAAATTGAAAATAATCCCCAAATAACATTTTCTTTCTTGTACTTACATCACTCTGTACCAATGCTGCATGAACTGAGTGAGCAATATGCATATCGCCATCCAGGCCACGGGAGCCAACCATCTGTCCTTTCATTTTCTCAAATGCTTCCTTATACTTGTGCTGAAAAGGAAATAAGAATAGAAATTTGAATAGAGGAAGAGACACAAGCAGCAGTCCAAATTGTTAGAACCAACCTTGCCTAGCAGATAGTGCTGGACAGCCCCTGACCAACCCCTGTGACCTTGGCCAGCTTTGCTAACACGTTTGCTTTAGAAAACTTTCCAGTGCTTAGTTACGAGTACCACTTCCTTGCATCTGCACTTCCAAAATCACCACAAAGAAGCAGACTGAGGCAGGATGTCTCCCAGCTGTAGAGCTGGCTGGAAACACTGTTTCCAACAAGAGTCACTGAGCAGAGCAGAAAGATCAGAATCTTTGAGGAGTGCCTGAGGACAGTATCAGCAGCGAGTTCACCTACATCACTTATGATTTCACCCGAAGCCTTTGCTGCCTGGAAGGGAATCGCATCAAGTTTCAGTTGATAGCCACCATCTTTCATCTTTCCCCAGGATTCCTTATAGCGAATCTGGTAGGAAAAACGGGACAGCAGTTAAGCAGAGTAGCTGTTCAGAAGGTTGACACAGCAGCACTGCCATTATCCTCCAAGTCAGTTACCTTCTATACTAACACAAAGGGCTGACATAAATTAAACTATCAACACACAAGAGGAATAATCAAATCATTGTTATAAAAATGTACCTGTTTGCTCATTCTTAATCTTATTAAATTAATAGAGATCTGATACAAAGTTTACCAAGAAACTTAATTTTACTCATTTTACTTCAAAAATATTTAGACCATAGAAAGACTGCACACTGAGGTGAAGAAAAAAGTGATTTCCTGTGTAGAACAAACAGCACTATTGACTTTTTCACTTTCCTTTAAAATATTGAAGGTCAGTTTAATACCTCACTGATATTCATAGCATTTAATTTGGCCTGAAGGATTTCAGGGAGATCTGCAGTTGGTGTATACTGATGCTTTACACTCTCTCCATGCTCCTTGTACAGCCTCTGCAAAAATAAATAAATAAATAAATAAATAAATAAATAAATCTAGCAGCAAGTACCCACTATACATTCAATCACTAGTTCAACTAAACATTAACAAATAGGTTAATGAAAAGCAAGGAGTGCAGAAAAAAAAGACAGCAGCATTAATTAATAAAGACAGTTCTATCAGTTAAAAAGTATTCAAAAGGCTTAGGGGCATGATATACCTATCAGATATTTTAAGGGCATAAATAAATGAATATGAAAATTCAGATATCTGAATATAAATTTGAAAAGAATTCCAATATATGTGAGTAGACAGAGAATTAACAGTTTTTATTAAGCATATGCAGCCACAAGTGGCCCACAGACACTTCTATAATTCTGTAGGAATCTGGGGACTTCAGGTTTCTCATAAATTTATCTTTATAAAATTAATAATTTTAGCAAGTATCAGTGAAAATAACATTGGAGTAGTTGCAGAGCTAGCTGCAGGGAAATGCTCAATGGTCAGGCAAGATATAAAAGCGTCAGGTCCTAGAATAGGTGTGATGGGCCACTCCTGTCACCCTTTGGAGGAAGCACAGCTGGTTTGCTCAGGACTAGCTGTTTTTCAGATGTCTGCAGACAGACAAGAGTTCTGTCCAGTCAGCTGGACAGAACATACAGCCCCTCTTCAAAGTTCTCATCTTTCAAAATACTTTTTTTAATCATAGTTTCTTCTTACATTGACACTGTAGCTTTCCGACTAGTAGACTAGTACAGATTTGTGTTTTTTTTTTTTGGACTAGTAGACTAGTACAGATTTGCGTTTTTTTTCATTTGTTTTTGCCTTAAATATGACCCATGTCTTGACCATCCACCTTGTCTTTCCTAGAAATGTGATTTTATCTGAGAGTTTGAGACTAGGTGAGATGAGTCAGTATTTAACTCTGCTGCCACTTTCTGTTGCAGATAGATCCTCATGTGTAGCAGCTCCACGTGAGGGAAGTCAACAAGAACTCCCCATGTGAGGGAGTTGAGTAGCAGATTGATTTTGACTGTGGAACAAAATGACTTATATTTATCCTGCCTGAGATGCAAGTCTTTTGGATCTTATTAATTAAACCAAAAGCACAGACACCATATGAGTTACAATAGCATGTGTTTTACACAAAGTCTTTCATCTTCTTTTTCATTTTAAAAAATATCTATTTTCACAATAAAACATTCTCTCATGTTTGAAACTTGTCTGTTTTGAGTGACTTTTGCTTATTATTCATTTCTGCATTATCCCAGTTAAGTCTACAATAGTTCTAAATCGCTCCTCTATTTAAAGTAAACATGTTTAAACACCAAACAGCCTCATTTTTCCTTTTTAGGTTTCCCTCACAAATTTCTCTCTCAGCAGGATGACAGCTTGAAATTATTAGCTTTTTCTTCCTTGTCATGCTGTCTCATATTTTGTTTCCAAAGAATACACAGATATTGAAAATTGAGATATCTTTCTGAGAAGGGGAATACCCGCAAACTGTCTTCTTCCTCAATGAATAACAAAATGCCAAAAATCTCAAAGAGTCAAAGGGCTACTCATACCCCTACATTTTACTTCTGGGAAGAAAAAAAAAAAAAAAGGGTGTTTGTGCATGAAATTCCCATTCACTTTGGTGCAGTCTCATGCTTTCCATTCCAAGTTAGAAACATGCTCTTTGTGAGATGCACCACACCAGAACACAGGAGTTTCATGGTTCCCAAGAATAATCTCAGAGAAAGAAACAGAGAGAAAGCCAGTGCTTCAATCAGGTCGTTCAAAGAGGATACCACTCTTATAATCATAATGTATATACATTATAACTTACATCCACAGCCTGGTTATAACTAATTCTAGCCTGGATCATCTCAGGAGTGTCTTTAATACTGGTAAACTTCAAAGCATATGGATGCTGACGGTACTTCTTCTGTTGAGCAGAAAAAGATCAAAGCTGTGAATTTTGTGCTGCTCTTTCATGCTATTTGAAAGAGAAAAATCATAGGTTGCTGGAGATTAGAGTGAATTTGTGAACATAATTATTATTCCTTTTTCCTCATCCTTATGTCCTAGGTACTTTCAGCTTAATATTTGTTTCAATTTAACAATAACCTTTTGCCGATTAATATTAAAGTATTTCCCCCCCAAATATAAAGAAAACATTTCAAAATCAGATTATGCCTACTAAAATACTTCAGGTTGCATGATTTGAAAATCTTTTTTAGATGGCTTCAAATACAGTATGACTGATTGCATTTTTTATTTATAGTCGCTTTAAGCAAGAAATGGTATAAAAATTGTAATATGATAATAATGGCAATGGTTAAACTTATTGTTCAAAGGTTTAGCTTTTCTCCTGACACTTATCTACAGCAAAACTGCGCAGTCATTAACACAGTGCCTAATTATTATGGTATATCTTCAAGGTACTGATATTAATTCTCCTGTTAATTCTCCTAGCAATCGATCTTGCTATATATACATAATGAAAATGAAGGCTGCATGTTGGCATATTTGCCTTTTATCCATACGTCTCTGTCCCTAAAAGCTTCCCTTTCTGCACAGATTGTCATTTATCCATCATTATCTCTTCTCCAACTGGAGGGTACTAAATTTTCCTGATGCATGAGATCTCAAGTCAATAAGCATTTTCATGGCTCTTTTGGAAACGGTAGTAAAGGCATGTAATCCTCCTTTAAATCGAGCTGTGATCCACTAAAATGTGTTTGCAGTAATTCCCTATTTCTCCAGGAATTCAAAACCCCGATGTAAAATGTTAACTCTTTTAAGAGATTGCAAGCTTATGAGTAATGTTTTGGTTTCAGAGCCCAATCCCTTAGCAATGAGCAATTATAACTGAGTTTAACTGGAGACACAGATAGTTTATTCTTTCCCCTGTTCAGCTGAGAAGACAAATGTTGACCAGAACATCTCCATGTTTAATTTTGAAAAATATTATGGTATTTGCTTTTAGCAATATTAAAAAGGGTATTCATAGTGTGTGTAATGGAGGGTCACAGACATCTATAATTTAGTACTCTTTAAAAGCTTAATATGAACAATCTAGCATGTCAAATTTCAATACGATAAAGTTTTCACTGCTCCTTCTTCAGAAACAATCTTAACCCAAGTCAGAACTACTATTTAAATGGGATCACACTTTAAGAATAGCCTGTCCCATGCAATTCAACACCTAATGTGACTGTATAGAAAAAAAGGAGCAAGAAAGAATCTTTAACAAAAGAGGTTCTGGGTGCAATGACTGCATCTTTTCATCACCTTTCCTGTTTTTCTTCATTAAAAAGGTAGGCTAGTGGGTAGCAATTGAGCACTGTTTGATTGCCATTATTATTCATAATATCATTTGTCACTTACTTTGTTTTTGCAAAGGCTATATGGACTCCTACTGGTGTGTGTTTGGTATCTGGTTTCCCTCTAATTACCAGTCCTATCCCTGGTTTTGAGGGCTTTCATGTGGTATGCCTTTTTCTTTCCCCTTTGAGTGGAAATTATTTTAATTTTATACAGACATTTTGCACGCATTATGCAGCAAATTCTGTTACATGCTGTCATGAAATCTCACCTCACTAATGAGTTCTCCTGCCTTCTTAGCCTGTTCCACATTTAATGACCCAGTGGCTATCCATCCAGCTCCTTTCATCCAGTTCCAATCTGCTCTGTATCGGTTCTGATAAAGGAGAAAAAAGTCTTATTGTTGGTGCTCATAGACTTAAAGTGCTATTAAAGGATTCAGACAACTAGAGAACAACAACCAAATCAAATTAGTGCCTGCTTTTGTTTATTCATTTCTGTGCAGTTGCAAGGAAAGCAAAAAAATATATATATATTACAGCAGGAGATGGAGGTATCAGGACTCACCAGCACTTGCACAAGATGCTTTGCAAAGCAATTTTAAGAAGTGGTCTGTACCTTGCTGTCACTGGTAATTCTTACTCTGGGTGAAAACTTCAGCACTGGGTGTGCATTTTTCAAAAGGGCATGAAAGATTTGCAATGATATGAAAATGGCAGTTAGCACCTCCCAACTTCTATCCTTGTGTTACACTGGAGGGAAAGCTTTTTTTTTTTTTTTCCCCCCCAAACATCTTTAAGGAGAAAGAATACAGGTATACTTCTGCTTTTCCTCACAAATCTCTCATAACAACAGGCTACTAAGCTCCAAAACCTTACACTAGCACTACAGTTGAGGTTCATGAGAGGAGCTAAACATGATTCAGCACCTCAACAAGACTTGCAGATGTATGTATCTTAGTTTTCTTCAGAAGTTCTGACTTAAAACCTCGGAGTAGAGAGACTGACTTCCATGAAGCACATAGGGTGTCAGACAGTGCTTCTAATGGTTATAGCAGGGCATGAGACCATAAAAACCTTAGATATACACACCTTAAATATCCCTTAGGAAATTAATAGTTAATGTTAAGTTTAAATATTAACTTAAATATTAAGTATATAATAAACATTATAGCTTTATAATGCATATAGCTTTATATGCATAAATAGGTCATGGTCTTAAAAGTATAAATATCTGAAGGAACTCACTCCTAATCATCTAAAAAGTTTGAGTGAAAGTGTTAAGCTCTGAACTTACATCACTTTGCAATCCATAGGCCCACTTGGCCCATGCCACTTTCATGTCAGTAGGCAGAACAGTGTAGTGATGGAGGGCTGTCTTGTATCCTCTATCAGTGGCCAAATTCTGAGCCTTTTTGGCATGCACAAGGTTGACCATATCCATAGAGACGTGGAACTGATTCTTTGTGTCCTCGAATGCCTTCTTATACTCCAAATCACTCTGCAACTTTGACATTTGAAGGGAATGAGCCATCTGTGAATCTTCCTTCACAGCTTTCACTCCAATCAGCTTACCCTTTGTCTTCTCATAACCTTCCTTATATTTTATCTGGAAAAAAACCAATACACCATGAGTAAATTATCCACATTCTCAAACCAGGAGCTCTGCTAGTAGTAGAGACACAGTATAGAACAGTAGTCTATAAATGTTGTGACATGCTGGGTGAAGAAGCAAGAAATCTATTTGCAAAAGAACTGGAATGCCTTAGAAACTAGGAAGAGTCCATAAAGAATAAATCCTTTTTAAATATAAATATGTTCTCAAAAAGTAAAGATTATTTTTACCGTTAGCTCCAAGAACAACAAATTTTTGTAAGGACTGAGTTTCGAAGGCTTTTTCAGAAATTTTCTGGCCAGCCTTAAATGTGTTAAGTTACAGTATTTCACAGGAGATTTCCACTTCATTCTGAGCTCTAAAATTCACCCTCAGGCCAAAATGGGAACAGGAGACACAGTCAGCATGTGTGTGGGGAGAAGAAAAAAAAAAAACACCACATTGAATTGCTCAGAGCAAATCTTCTGGCCAATTATGGAATGCCAATCACCCAAAGAATTCATCCATTTGAGCAACATGAACAGAGCTCTGGGCACTGGCACTGAGACACAAGTGACATCCCCAACACTCTGGTAGCTATCTGCAATGTCAGTTGTCCTAAGAATAAAGAAGCCTGATGCAGTCCATACTCACATCACTTGCCAGATCCCTCTTTGCCTTAGCTGTCAAGAAAGACAAAGCATCAAGACGCAGCTCAAATCCTTTTTCCTTCTGCTTCTCCCAGCTACTTTTGTACAGTTTCTAAAAAGATGACAATAACACAATAACTTTATTAATATCAGTATATTCTATTTGTTTTACAGTCACAATCAAAGCTCTGAAACATCTTCAGACTGGCATACACTCCACTAGGCATGCAATCCCTGAACCATTGACCGCATGTCTAATGCAGAGAGCTGGTGTCTCTACCTGTGGATACCTGATCCTACTGGTTCTACTGAAACTGCTGATGTGCCACTGGTCACTCATCTGAGTGAGACCAACTGTGTGGAAAATAAACAGTTTCAAACCCTGAAAGTGACCAGTCTTCAGTGGACTAGATGTACCTAGCATTTAATCAAGAGCATATAATTTGACCATAAAGTTTTTATGGCTACAATATTCAGACAATCTCAGAGAAAGGGCCTACTACCTACAGAGCAAATATTTCAACAGCAGCTTTAACTGTTTACAGAAGTGAAGGAATCCAACCCATCCTCTCCCACACTACCTCACTAATATTTGCAGCATTTGCTTTAGCCAGTAGGAAAACAGGATCATCTTTGCTGATGGTATACTGATGTAGGAACTGCTCCTTTCCTGACCTGTAGGCAACCTGTCCACAGAAAGCAAATCATGGTTAACAAAAAATAGTCAGTATTCCTTTGAAACTAAACATACACTAAAACACTGCTTACATCCACAGATTTACAAGGGTTAATTTACTTGATGAATTAGTCTTTAATGCCAGGCTTTTTCTACTTAGTATGAGTTTAAAAGTTTCCTTAAAGAGCCAAGTTGACCAAATTCGCCATGGTTAAAAGTCAGCAGTGAAACAATATGCAATCCAGGATACCCTATTTCACTTTCCTGAAGTTAAGTACTTAACTGGCTACAAAGCTGACATGAATCCATACGGTACAAAATGTATGCAAGAATATATTTCATTCAATATTAGAATGCAGCTCCTTTTCAGATGGAATAAAACATATTTAAAGGGGCACAGTAATAATCAATATTAGGCATGAAGTGAAGAACACTGCAGGAAAAGTGAACTACAGGTATTGCCTACATAATACTCCATCAAGAACTAACACTCCAACTTCAAGGGAAAACATCAAGGATCCATTATGACCCTAGTGGGAAACATCTCCATTTAATATGCAAGGACAATTCCAAATGGCTGCTCTTCTTCCTAACTCCATAAAACTGTTGGAGGAGTTCTTGAAAAAGCTATGAAAAGGTGTTCCATGCCCTCAATAAAAAAAATAAAAATAAAAAATAAAAAAGGCAACACACTACTGTCCCTATGTCCCTAAATTAGTTGATCAGTAATTTTAGCAGTAGGTTTCTCTTGTTTCAGGAATTTAGAAATGAGTTGCTGTCAGGTAGGTTCTGCCAAGAATTCTCAGATGTCATTTGGAAGGGTAACTTGGCCATGAGGAAGCATGGGGAGTATTATAAAGGCATTTAGTTTGGGAAAATGTGTCTATTTCATTGTTTTATCAAAAGCAGCTTAAAAGCAACAGCTGAAGAAAGTGCAATCTAACATGGCGAAAATAGTTTAAAATATTCTGACAATAGCCCTCAGTACACAGGAATAAGAACTTAGGTTGGATGCGTATTAGTCTGCAATGACTATTTTGCTTTGGAGTGCTGTCTGCAGGTCAGATGGGCACACTGGTTTTCCCCCTGCTTGCTTCCTCCCTCTCTCATGGAAAGCCTGTCTTGGTGCAGAAGACACTAATGCCTCAGCAATCCTCAGGCAACATCTCACAGATACATTTCAGCCTTACTTGAATCCAGTTTACAGACTTGCTGCCTGAACTATGAACAAGTGGCACATGACTGTCTTGTAGAGGTATCCCCCCTATCTCTGGCCGTTAATGTCATTATGAACACAGCAACTTGTTTCTGTTGACATGTTTTTGTTGTTTCTAGTTGAGAGAATTCAAATACACAAACAAGAAATCCCTTAAAAATAAATCCCAAAGAATTTCAAATACTGGAAAGTTTCATGACTGGGTTGTCTGTTCCCCTCCCCCTCTACAAAACGTACATACCTCAAGAACGAACATATTGGCAATAACACATCTGCAAAGAGAAAAATTCAATCAAGGACTCACATCGCTTTGCAGTTCCTGGCTTTTCTTGGCATGTTTGATCTGAGAACTGTCAGCCACACTGGTGAACTTCAGAGCATCAGCTTTCTGTCTGTACTTTTTCTAGATGAAATTAAAGTGGGTTAACACAGAAGTCGCTACAATATTCCTTCCCCCAAACCAATCAACCTTCCCCCAAAATTTAGTACTTTCAAACAGTGCATTCCTGATAAAAGCCAGAAGACACCTGTAAATTCATGGTTTAGTATGGGAATCAGCAAAATATGCCTTCAAATACTTCATAGTGATTGTATCTTCTGCTAGAAGGACCACAGTGGTGATCAATGCAACAGACATGCCTAAAGCATTGCTGCTGGTAGTGCAGAGCCACTCACTGGTGCCACATGCACTAGCTATGCGGTCATAGGATCTAGACTGCACTTAGATCTTCCCCAACATCTCCCAGCTCTTTTCAAAACAAGGCTCAGCATAAACACTGCAGTGGAGCCTTCCTGGGAGTAACAGTCAGAAGACCCCAGGCTCTAATCTTGGATGCAGGAAGAAGCATCATATTCCACCCAGCCTTTGGTACCAGTAACTTGTGTAATCCTCCATCTGCGTGGACATATTGCAGGGAGACTAATGTTTCTGTTTGACAAATAAGACTGCCCTTACTTTTGTTTTCTGTCTGAAATACATTTCAGCAAATAGAAAAAACATGCACTGACTTTCCACTGACACTGATTTTGGGTCAGAGCGGTTTTGAATCAAACTCTCTGCCTGAGCAATGTGGGTTTCTCCCTTCAGCGCAAACTAATTTTTTTCTTTTTCTGTCTTTGAGACAGTACTGGGAAATGTAACACACTACTTAAAGACTTTGGTATGATAGGGAGACCAGGCAAACACTTCTTGTATAGTTCAGTCACCTTCTTATTCTAACAGTTCAACAATGAAGTGGGACATTCCACCTAGCAAGGGTGTAAGTGCATTTTTTTTTCTGGCATTTCAGGAGATAAATCCTTCTTTTTGAACTGATGGGTGAACACATCAAGTTTACACTGTGACTCTGCTATGGGAACACAAAACAGAAGTTAAAAAAGCATGCAACACTTCAAAGAGGTGCTCATTGCTTTATTTTAGGAACCTGGAAGGGAGGCAGACAGATTAAAAACAGCGTGTTTTGTCACATTGCGTGGAACACAATGTAGTGACATCCTGCAAAGAAATGACAAAACGCCAGATTCTGCATGACAATAAAGAACTCTAAAATAATATCCACAGTTTAAGTGACTGTCAGTCATCTCTTGGCCTTACAATACACCAAAATATAAAGGCAGATCATGATGGATTAAATATTTGTGGAAGTGATTATTACTGCAGCACACCACATCAGCAGATGTCAGTTTGTCTTTAGCAGGACAATGGATCTGAGAGCAGTTGCTCTTCTTTTGCTTCTAAGATGTATTTTTCCCCTTACAACAGCAGTGAGCAAATGTCAGAGACTCAAGGTATCAGAGAATGTGATCTCCAGTTCCTAACTGGGTTCTGCTCCTTCGTCCAGCACTGAGTAGGATTTTATTCATCTTATCAAACTTCTAAATTATTCTTCTTTCCAGTCTTTAATTTTCCTAGCACTAGCGAGACAACTCAACACAGCTATGCAGCTAAATGTACTTCCATAAGGTTAGTGTAGTGTAAAACCATGAATTAACCAGGAAAAAGCCACGAAAAGCAGCACAAGCTGAGGCTCACAGTAAAGGCACAGCACTTATTTGCTGAAGAGCAAGGAAGTTTCCAAACACAGCTGTCAAATATCTGAGTTTTCAGCACTGCTCTTTAAAAGTCTACGTACATCATGCAGCATGTCCTGAAGGAATCCAAACCTTTCTAGTGCTGCTCACCTGAATGGACAGGTGAATCAAAAGTGGTAGAAGGGAATGCTACCTCACAGTCTTGACAGAAATCAATAATCATATAAGGAGAAAAATGTAATTTTAACTCCAGTGCAGGTTCTCCCAGACTGCCCTGTACATTTACACTATGTCCACTAGCAGTTCCAGTTCTCAGATATCAACTACTAGGATTTTTTTTTTACCTATTCTACATAACGTAGTGGAATAAATGTGCATAAACCTTTTAACAAGCAACAGCCAGAGCACTTTGCTTACCTCACTGATCAAATCTCCTGCCTTTTTGGCTTGTTCTATATTAAGACTTCCTTCGCTGATACACCCAACTCCTTTCATCCACATCAGATCTGACCTATATTGAAGCTGTATAGGAAGAGGACATTTATTTGCATGAGGGACACAGGTCAGTGTTTGTATGTGAATACATGCACACTTTCAAGTTTCAAAAGCAAAGTACAGTCTGAAGATGTTTTAAATCATTTTAGAAATCAAAAAGCATCCGCATGAAATTAGAAATAGCGCCAAATACTGAAAACTCTCTAAACTATCATACTGTTTGTAATAATTCAGTCAGATATATATTATCTTACATCACTCTGGAGTCCATAAGCCTTCTTTGCCCATTTTGTCTTCATATCTTCTGGAACTACTGTGTACTCATGGAGTCTCTTTCTGTAGTCTAGGTCACTAGCAAGTGCCTGGGCCTTCTTGGCATGCTTCAGGTTTACCATATCCATAGGCAGATGGAAATGGGTCTTACTCGCCTCAAAATCTTTTTTATAGGCAATCTAGAAGAAGGAGGAACGAAAAGAAGCTGCCTGTAACAGCACACAGCAAAGCCAAACCTATCCTAAATCTCAACTCTTATTTGGACACTTATATATTAGGTAAAAAAAGAAGTGTGGTGTTACAAGGAATCCACAAAACAGATGCAAAATGCAGAGTCTAGAGACACTGTCTCTATTACAGTGTATTTTAAAATATACTTCTCTCTGCTTGGAAGTTCAATTTAGGAGTGTTCACACTGGGTTTTTAATAGGATGATATTATTTTCCTGCCCCAAAAGGACATCACCAATGTTCCAAAATTCTCCACAAGAACAAACACATTGTATATCCATTGTAGATTAACAGACTGGGGAAGAAAAACAACTTCTTTTTCACTAGCTTCCAAGGACTTATTATAGTGAAATATCAGTAATGGGGTGGTATGGATTTGATGAAAGATTTATAATTATTAAAATGCTTTTTAAGTATGAGAAATAAATAATTTACCTCACTGCTCATCTTGGCCACCTGCAGAGAGTGCAAAAGTCTTGAATCTTTGGTTCCAATTGCTTTTCCTTTTGTTTTTTCATATTCTTCTTTATATTTAACCTTTGGAGGGAAAAAAAACAGTTTAAGATCATTTTCCAGATCTTTTGCTACCTCAGAGATAGCAATATCTATGTCACTCGTCATTTAGGTAGTGAAAATTTACAAGAGTCTAGTAGGATTCTCATTTTGTCACTTCAGACTTCTTTTTTTTTTTAAACATTATTCTTTGAGGATTGTTCCTTTGAGATGAACTTGTTTAAAGATTTAAGAGGTTTCTGAACAACTAAGTGTTCTGGGTTATTTTCATTTTTTCTGTCCAAGTATGTTACTTAGTTCTTAAAGCAAAAGAAAAGAAATCAGTCAGCTTACAAACAAGCTAGATATTCAACATTTCACTCTTAATGGGGTTGAGGGGAACACACTGCTGGCATAAAAATCTTCTATTCTACTCCATTGCCAAATACTTTTCACTTAAAGGATCATTCATTTTTCTTCCTTTTCTACCTCTCACACAAGATAAGAATTGCAAGGTGTTCTTAAGAGGAATAGTTTGGAATTTTTTTTAATGTGCGTGTGTTTATGTAGAGAAGCAGGCTAGAAAAATACATTCTCCCTTTACAGTGGATGATAACAAAATTTATGAGGCTTTAAATAATTAAGAGCTCTGAATTTTACTATGGGAGAGCTCAGCTATTGTCTTTTTGCAAACTTTGCTTGCTTATATACATTTATATTTAAAAATAACTTTAAGAGAGTGAAATACCAAATCAGAGACAGAGTTTCCAACTGCTCAGCCTTTGAGAAAGATGAATACACAACAGTCAAATGCAGGGCTTACAAACCCAAATGAAGTGAGTTAAGCTTTATTTCCCTGTGCTACAGTGACTTATGTTAAGAATAATTCCTAGGTAATTAAAAATAACCTACTTCACTAGCAAGATCCCTTGAAGCTTTGGCAGCAAGTAAAGGCAGAGAATCAAGTTTCATTTCAAAGCCCCGACCCTTACTCTTCTCCCAGCCTTCTTTGTACTTAATCTGAGAAAGAAAAGACAGCAACATGTCACTAATACACAAGAACTTCAGCTGAACATGGAGATGGCTAAGAGCAAAACAGAAGTATAAATATATTCAATCCACAAACTGGAACAAGGGTTCTTTATCATTATGGATTAAATAATTACCTAGGACTGAGTCAAGAGTTTTATTCTTGGAGTTCACAGTCACCTTTAATCCCAGAATATGCAGCAATAGCTCCAGCTTTTGGCTGAATTGTCAAAAGAGTCTGTGATTATGTCTAAATTTGCAAATAATATAAAAAGGGGCTGATATCTAGAGCAGAACAACTAGAGCTAAGAATAAAAAAAATCAGGATTTTTCTTCTTTTTTCCTCCCCAAACTAGAGCTAGGGTAATTCTAGTTACCCCATCATACTCTACCAGCTCAAGTTTCATTAAGAGAAAGAGCATGAGAACGAGTAACGCCAACTCAAAATCATGAAAAATTATGAAACAGAGTTAAAAAAAATAGTTATACTAATAATAAGTTTGGAGGGTTTACTGCATTTCTATTCATGCCTTGCTTTATTTTTCCAAACACTGCACAGAACAATGGAAGCCTGAAAATTACCTACAAATTAAATAAAAGTTAAGATTTTCAAGAACTTGATTTTGACACCTAGGGCTTTAAGAAAACTCTAAATATTATAACATAATCTGAACAGCAATAAACAGTGGGCTTGATCCAAGTTCACTGGAGTTACCGTAATTCTTTCCATTGGCTTCCATGGGCTTTGAGTTATTGCAGCTGTGTACAAATACCAACACAGAAGTTCAATAAATGTACTTTTGACAAAGTTATTAAACAAATTTCACACATCCGAAGAGATCTTGGAAAAAAAAAATCTACCAGTTTTACTGTACTTGAGATTGTATACCTGTCTGTCTGGGTTATTGTATCTCTTTTTGCTTAGTAAGGACAGATTAGAAATGCTAAATGCTTCCAGAAAGTGTCACCATCTTTACATTCATTTCTCTTTCAAGGGTAACATATATATCAATATTTTTGCATTGCCTGGCTTACCTCACTATATAATTCAGCATTGGCTTTTGCCTTGATTAACTGAGGCACATCCTGAGGCAGAGTGTAATTTGTTTTTGTCTTCTCATACTGGGCTCGATAGTTCAACTATGATGCATTAGAAAAAGAAACAAACAAAAAACAACCTCAGTTATTTTTAACTCACCAAACATTATGCCAGTAACCCTGAGCGATTACTGCTGAACTTCAGGCTATTAGTGCCATATAGTTAAGGTGGACATCATTAACAGATTGGAGGTACCACAGGAATTATAACTTTTCCTAGATAGTAGGAAATAGAGTAGTTATTCTAGAAAGATATTTACTATAAGTAATTGAATCAATCACAAAAATATTAAAGTTATAAAAGCAAGCAATAATAAATGCAAAGAAGATAAACCCCTTACAAAAGCCACACACATCTTGTTTAAATGGGGGAAATCATTATATTTTACTGATTTAATGGCATGCTTGTTACAGTTTTGGAAGTGATTTCATTAAATTTATATTATTGTTTTCTTTGTATATCTGCTGATTAATTATGATCAATCAAAAACATTTAAGAATTACAAATTTTTCATAGATGAACTAAATTGTGTCCTAATGCTAATAAACAAAACAGCTAATGATGACAGAACTTACATTGCTGAGCTGCTGTGCATTTATTTTGGCTTGAGTAATTTGTGGACTGTTTGCAACAGAGCTGTATTTCAGTTTATCTATGCTTTGCCTGTAGTTTACCTAATTAAAAATAGAAAACAAGATTTAATAAAGAAAGAAATGCTCAGACTGGACAAATGAGAGACCAAGTACACAGGTTTGTTAGCTAATAGTCTAGATATGGCACTGCCTAAACCATAACAATTGAGATGGGGAAAAAAGCCATGATATCTTGGACAAGATCTGCAGTTAATGCACTGAAAACTTCCTGGGGTGAAGTCACAATTTTCATTCTTTTAAAAATGAATTTCACTTACAGCCTCTACCCCAGTAAAACACAAATTCATTAAAGGCCCAATTTCAGCTAGCCCCCATAAAATATGGTATCCAACAATCATCACTCAGATTTTTTAAAATTTTAATAGAGAGTTACAATGTTTCATCATACTGTTTCATTATAGGGAAGTCTGTTCAGCATAATATAGTACAAAGCAAAGCAAAAGAATTCTCTTATACTTTGCCTTTTCTGATATTTAATATAATAATTAATCAAAGAAGTTCCTTGTGTTGTAAGAGTTTTGCAATAAGGATAAAAGAAGAAAAAAACCTATATGGTACAAAAAAAAAGTTATTCTAAGGTCAGTTATTGATAGTAACAGAGCCCACTAAATTTCCTAACATGTTAACATGGTAGCAACAATAATACGTTATAAAATGAAACATATTAAATCCCAAATTATGCAAAATAAAGTTTCATGGAGAAGCTTTTTTTTAAATCTCTTGCTTCCAAAGGCCTCAGTGTCACACTGCAGGACACAATTATCATTCTCTGTAGGCCCTAATTAATATTTGCTGTAGTTAATCGTTACTTTGCAAACATTGCACATCACATAGTTGAAAACTAGTTTATAAGAATATTTTTTTTTCAAAAAAGTGGAATGTATTTCCAGACACTGAGTTAATAAAAGTATTTGAATGGTAGCCTTTTTATCTGAATTATCCTCACAAACTTCCTTCTTTCTACCGTAATAACAAACATTAGGCAAAAGACCTGAATTATCACACAGATCCAAAATGATCAAGACACTATAAATAGTTCATTTGCTTTTTTACCACTCTTTTCCTGATGATTTTAAAAGTAATGAGTGGTTACTGCTCTCCTAGGTAGGGCACAGGTTAAGTTCCTAATGCTAGGTGAGATCAAGCAAGCTTTTAATGCCTGTGAAAGGTGACATACAGCATTCCTGGCACACTGATGCCCTCCATTTACTTGTAGGGCACATATAACCTCTCGTACACAATTTCCCTCACATTGCACCATCAGTATCTGGGCAGAACCAACTCATTTCATGTCACTGCACAACCTGTGCTGAACGTAAATCAATGATAGAAGGTGGCAGCACTTTTTCCTTTCTATTTCTCTGAGTCCTCCTGATTAACTGCAATTTTTTGCTTCGACTTTGTTACCACTGGCTGCTTGCTCCAATGGTTAAATCATCATTTGACATACAGAAACCATCACAATCTCTCCTACAGAGAGATGATGAGCCACATAATCCATAGATAAAAACCCAGAAAGTTATTTACATCTTTCAAAGGGACCAACTTCCTTGTTGTCTGATATGAAGGAGTGAGAGTTGCTGGGTAATTGTAGTCAACACCGTCATGTTTGTAATCAGATTTATAGGCTATCTGAAATACAGGGAGAACAAAAAAAATAAATAAACATTCCTTTTTTTAAGCTGTCATTTGTTTGAATAATTATCAGTCAAGAGGAAAGGAGTAACAATAATATTAATATTAAATGCAAGAAACAAAGTAAGTTCAATGTCGTCAGTGACAGAGAAAATGAAATTATTTGCATAGTTTAGCTACTAATTGATTCTTTTTCAGCTCCTCAATTAATCCAGTGCCAACAGTGGGAGCATTAACTTAACTTCCACCTATGACACATCTCTTTTATCTTCCTGCTTAGTTCTCAAGCTTCTTACAGATTTGTAAATAATGTACTTGAAGGAATGGTATGTAACGAAATAGCTTCTTGACTAACCCAGTAAATTAAATTGGAATTCAGAAATCTTCATTAAAGACTCTTTCTCCAGGAAAGGTCTGACCCTCGCAGGGAGGGGAACCCAAGCAACCTCAGCTCCAACTGATGTCAAAGAGAATTGAAGGAGCTCAGTGTGTTGCCAGATCACTGAATTTGCTTATTTTAGCTTCTTCCACACAGTGAGACATAAATCAGGACAAAAAGGTTTCCAGAGTTTCCCCACTTTTCAATATCCATCCTTCAGATAACCAATATATTTTGATCTTCATTTTTCTATCTATTTAGTTCTAGTAAAATTTGAAGACAAAAAAGGCAACACCTATACAATCACAATTGAAAAAGACTTACATTGCTTGCCAAACTGCCAACTTTTATGGCGTGTAACATCCTCTTATCCATGCCAACACCTTCATAATGACCTTTCATCTGGTTCTGGTAGGTTTCTTTGTATTTGAGCTATGAACAAATGCAGAAAATACTCTGAAAAAATATATTTCATTTTTCTTTGTCTTTTTATGTTTCAGTAGTGATACAAAATATTACAGCTGTGATTTACTATTTGCACTACTATAGAAAAACACGTAAGTCCACAACAACCTTGGTGCTCTAAAAATGAAACCTCAAAGTTTTCTGCGAATTCACTATCTTAAAAGACATGGCTCATCTATCTCCCAGATCATCTGGATGCCACAAATGATACTCTACGCTCTCTTGCTGAATATTATTTCATCAGAGATAAACATTTGAAAATGTTTAGTAAAATGTTACAGGAAATGATTATTCGTACATTAACAAATGAACAGATAACCATTTACTGTGTGTTTTAGTGCAGCAATCATAGAAGAGGATGTTTTGAGTTCAAAACACAGTTAACCACCCTACCAGGTCATCTGTATCACAAAAGATTCACTCTTCCTGGATTCCAGGAAATGGGAGTAAGGAGCATATTGTAAAATTATCAGTATCTTGAGATACAATTACTATCATTATTGATTAGTATTATACACTAAACATTCTCCTCCTTGATATTAACTATGTTGAAGTGTCTTCTGTCTATCTTTCCCGTGAAGAACGGAGACACACAATGAAATAAGCAATGGATTATGAGAGAACTGTAACAACTAGGTTATTTGTCTGGATTAGTAGTCAGTTATACGTAACTGCTCTTCTATATTATTTTGAATTCTTTTCATAATTCCACATAAAAAGAGTCCTAATCATTAGCCAGGACCTAATGGGGTAGGTGCTATACAGACACAGATAAAATCAGTTATAATCAAATTCCAGGAGCAGGCTTATCTGACACACACACACACGAGCTGTGATTCGAGCAGCTCCCTAGCCAAGCTCTTGGTAAGCCACATGCAAGGTATGGATGGAGAACTTACATCACTGGTGTATTTTGAGATCTTGCTCACATTCTTGAACTGTGGAGTCTCACAGTAGTTAATGCTGTGACCTCTGTTGTTTTCCAGATCCTTCTTATATTCCACCTGAGTAACAACAAATAAAGCCCTCAAGCGTTAGATAGGATAAAACCTTAACTTAGTCTAGCAAGCACCTACACGCAATATCTGTTAGCCAGGCTCACGGTTCAGGGATTTTTGATATGTGACTTCTATCAGAAGGCATATGATAAAAAACAATACGAATTTTAATGTCATACACTCAGTTCCTTGACAATAGCAGGTGATGTATCTTCTAGCCACTTTGGTATCTAAAGTTCCAAAGGATACCAATAACATCACGCTGCTTGATTTCTGAATCTCCTACACATTGAAGGACCACTGGAAGGACAAAAAAGTTTGGCAGTCCTCTGTAAATACAGACATAGGGATCTATATTACCCTGGAGACAGTCCCATATTTCAAATCTGTCTCTACCACCACGACAGCAGAGTCGTAAATGTCAAGAAACACGATCCAGAACTGTGAGAGTAAGCAGGTGCATCTTCACTGAAAGTAAAATTATTTCTGTAGCTATTAAAAACAAAAAGACTTTGCAATATGCTTAAACATCTTATTTAAAAGCAAACAATACGGCAAAAAGTTATTTCGCTATGTAAATAAAAAGAGAACAAAGGCCCACTGAAGAACAAGAATGGCAACAAGTTTATAGACAGGAAAAAATTGCAAACAATCCCATTCATTTGGGCCTCAAAGTATATGGGACAGTGCCAGGTGGAAAAGCATTAACAAAACCAGAGATCTATGAAGGAATTTTAAAGGTGGGTGTGGACCAAGCTAAAGGGAAAATAGCAATGGGTAGTTTTGAACAGGAAGGATACAAAAGAAGGAAGTTTACTAGCAGAATTCCTGAGAATAAATTTAAAGGCAGATCTGCTTTCTTATTTTCACCAACTATTCTTGAACTGAAATAGGAATGTGGTGATGAAATCTGGGAGGCACTGTCAGTTCAAAGGAATGTTGGAGGTCATATTAAAATGCTTTGGAGACTAGAGTAATAGAAATGGGACTAAACTCAGCAGTGTAGAATTTAATACACTTAAGGACTAGTCACAAAAATTTGAACTGTGAGAGTTCATCATCTGAAAAGGCTGAGAAAGAGGAAATTCTTTGTAAGTAGGCTGACCATGGAACAATGGCAAGACACCAAAATAATGTAGCCAAGAAAAAGGCAAATGCAGTCCAAGGCTGGAGCAAGAAAAGACTTTGGAGCAGGGAGTGGGAAGTGTGCATGCTGTGTACCAGGTTCCAGCAAGACCTCATCAGAAACCTATGTACTCTTACAGTCATTCCTGTTTAAAGAACATGCACTCAGCCTGTAACAGCTGCAGTGAAGGACTGTGAGAGGAGATTAGAAGAATTTAGCTTGCTTAGTCTGGGAACATAAAGACAGAGAGAAGAAAATGACATCCTGCCCATAAATTTCTCAGAAGGATAATCACCATGTAGAGAGAAGAACTTTCTAAACTAATGGATAATGTTTGCACAAAACACAATGCTAATGAGATGGACAGGAATAAATGTAGCCTAGAAATGAGAAAGGAAGGATTAGACAATACTGTGCTGAAATAGCAGGAGTCAGGAATCACTGGCCCAGGAGGCCCCTTCCAGTTCTACTTTGGGGGTTTTTCATTATTGATGATTTTAGACTTGAACATCTCAAGAGCATAAGTTTTTAAAGTGTCATGGGGAAGCTCCTGAAACTCACATTTATTAATAGCTATAAGGCTGATATGACACTATAAATAAATTAACAAATCAGAATATATTGAGAATTCCCTAGCAATCTTCTGTTACACCAGGTAGAAGAAGACTGCATTATCAGTGAGCCAGAGTCTTTTACAGACTAGAAGAAAAGAAAAGCCTGCATTAACACAGTTATACAAATTTTGGGTGTATTGGTATTATTTTTAATTAACACTAGAACCTTCTTTGAAACTCTGCAATACGTATTCCCGAGGCAGCCTAAAGCATTTATGTTTATAACCTCACAGTGCATTAAGGGCACAGTACAGAGCTTTCTTAGATTTCTCCATGCTGCCAGAATTAGGAGTGCTTTCCTGGAGTTATTTGCCATACTTCCACACAGATCACTGGAAGAGTCAGCTAACAGTGTCTGAAGAACCTTTCTTGCACCTTTCTCCCAGTTACTGGGCTGAGCACAGATCAGTTTTGATAATGACTGGATAGTAACCACAACAGCTTCCTATATTTGTAGTCCTTACCCAGCACACGCAAATGTTTGTATGGGCTACTCTTACCCCACTGCATAGATCAATATAACTCCTTACCTCACTGACAAGCTTGTTAACACTCTGAGCTTGTTTAAGGACTAAGTTGTCTTGGGCTGTCAGGGAATGAAAGTGAGCAGCACCTTTCATCTTGGAAAGATCTTTCTTGTATTTTATCTAAAAAAAAAAAAAAAGAAAAATACAATAATATCTTTTCAACATTGCTACTTACACTGGCTTTATGAGTCAGGATAAGAGGTTTCCTACTCTTGTTTGCATAAGCAAACAATTCAAATTGTTTCTTCCTAAAATAACCAACACAGAAAATCCCATGCCCACATCTCTTGCCAAGCTACTTCATAGAATCATAGAATCCTTAAGGTTGGAAGGGACCTCTAGGGATCATCTAGTCCAACCCCCCTGCACACGCAGGGTCACCCAGAGCACGTGACACAGGGCTGCGTCCAAGCGGCCTTCACTTGAATATTTTTTTTAAAATCAGTTTTCTTTTATGTGGACTGAATAGCACTGGCTGTTGTTTGTAGCTTGAACAGATAACTAGGAGATTCTGGGCTAGTGACTGGCTGGAGCTTGAGTGCTCATCCATTACTGAAGTGAATCCTCAGGACTTTCATTTTAGCCCTCCAGCCAGACAATTACAGCTAGCCAGAAAATGACCAAGCTCACTGAACTTTTCTAGGAAACAGGTTTTAAGTAAGCGATGCTATCTGGCAGTTCTAAAGTTTTAAAGACAATTACAATTTTCCTTCTAAAAACACAATGAGACGAAGAATCTGTTATTTTAATTTAGTTATCTGGTCTGTCACTTAAATTGGGAGAGGACAGGTGAAGATAGATAATGGCCTTTGGCCAAATTCTCTCCACCAAATATATATGTCAATATTTCTTACATACGAAGAGATTATTAGGCTCTTTGCATCACATTGTTACTCATTTAGCTTTAAAAATCAGATTCATAACATAAAAAATAGCAATGGATTTGACATGTGCTAAAGTATTAAGCTAATTTGTTTCCATTTTCCAAGTCTCCACACCGCTTTCCAACAGTTTAAAGAAATTAAGCAGCTTGGTAAGTACTCTTATGTGCTAATGTTAGTGCATGTTCTCCTCCCCACTCCAAATATGACAGGTTTGTATAAAAAAATGCCAACCTTTAACATTTTGAAAACCTATAAAATTGGCATCTTTAACTGGGAAGGTTAAATATTTCACATTAAACAATTAATCATTGGACTTGTCATTAAAATAGTCATCAGTCACAGGTCTCAGGCCTCCTATATTCTCTCAGTCACAAATTTAAGCAACAGAATATCATGGATCTGTTTCAGCTAGTTTATTGCTGGCATCTCATCCAGGCTGGTACAAACTGAAAGACTCAACCATTTATTGGCTCTTTAGAAAACAGACTGAAACCATCAGCTCAAATAGCCCCGGAGGATTATTGATGTCCATGCTACAGAAGCTGTCACTTACAGGAGCCCTTCACAGCGGCATCAGAAGGGTATTGACCAGCGGACTGGCTCATTTTTGTCGCTACGAGAAATGGTCTCCTCTAGCAGGGCTGAGGCTCTTTGACTGGTGAGCTGCACGCAAGTATCACACATCACCACTTTCCCATGCCAAATTCTTTAGCTCGCCACCCAAAACTAAAAATCACTAGAAAAAAGCTCGGTCTTGTGAAGCGACAATGTCATACGCTATGGTGTCTTTTCCTCCCTATGACTTGCTTTGTGCTGGAGGCAGGATACATCAAAATATCAAAACCAGTTCAGCTCATTCATCCTCCACTCGCTCACTACTGGGAATAACACAATAGTCCACAGGATGATTAAGGCAGTTGAAGGTTGCATTAATAATACAGGTACAGATTTGCCAGGAGGGTTAACCTAACAGTAGGGATCCCCATTAGTTGCTGCATCCTCTCCTCCCGCATGCAAGCTGGAGCAGTGTCCCCTTACATTAATGGATATTATTATTCCCCAAGTCACCCAGGTCCCAGCAATGCAGGGAAATGTCATTGTTGTTTACTTCTCAAGTGTAATTTTAGCATTCTGCTCCTGGGCATTGCTCTGACAAACTGCTGTTTTTAATTGTTTATGAATTGTATTGATTCAGGTTTCATACTTACATCACTTGCCAATTCATTTGCTTTCTTGGCATTTTGATAAGCTGGAGTGATCATAGCAGGAAAGCTTCCCTTCCCTCTGCGTTCTTCAAACTCATCCATATAATCCTGAGGAAAATTCAGCTTGTTTACTCACCACACATGAGCAGGTGGGTCTTAAGTGATTTCACAAAGCCCTTGTTAGTAGCAAAAGTTCATTATTTCATATTCTTTATGAAAAAAAGAGAATAAATGACCAATTAAAAGAATTAAATCACCTACCAAATTAGCTGCGTTCATAAAGTTATTTGTGTTGCATTGCAAGAGAAACTGAGATAGCGGTTAGTTGTGCTCCAGACAGTATTCAAATATACAGTGATATACATCCTCGTCTCACCCTGATTCCTAGATTTGAAGAAGTGGTATTTGCTTACTTACACCTGTCTACATCGATATGTGTGTGCCAGGAAAACTAAAACATGAAAACTGAATGTTTGGATATTCAAGAGACTGGCTTAACCTTGGTTAAGTTTAGCTTAGGGTCAGCCTCCCTCTGTGACCTGATAGAAAACCTGACAGAAACATGGCTATTCCTCACATCATAACTGTCCAGAAAATATTTCTTTCGCATTTCAAAATGATGCATTTTGTTCTAGAATTAATACCTTAAGTCTATTTATAAACAAGCTTATGGATAATTGCCAATTTCAAAAGTCTTTCAGGGCAAAATCTGGGGAGCACATGATAAATATACAAGCGAGTAAGGTATAGTGTAATCTTACTCTGTTCTATTTTATAAATTATTTCTAGTAAAGAAAGTCACAGATTTAGTGAAAAGAGACTGTATAGCATGTCGAGGATAAATTTAAGAGTATAGCATTCATAGTAAAGACTAAACATTTTTAGGATATCTCTCTTGTGACTTCTCAATTCTAAACAATACATTGTAGGCAATGTTGTGTAACATCAGTGTCACATGATAAGATGGGTCATATCATAAATCTGTCAACAACATAACATCAGTTATAGCTTATCTAGATTACGCTAAAAATAGGTACAGAAAATCAAAAATATCCCTGACTAAGCAACTGATATGATCTTTCAAATGCCATTCATGCGTCAGAATTCTTCAGACTAACTTGTCATTTTCTTTTTCTTGTAACTTCCTCAAATACATTTTAATATCATTATTCATACTGCTCAAATTCCAAAACAGTATTTTTAACGTCCCAGACAATTAACTTTACCCATGCCTAATATTTTTAAACATGAGCACAACAGATGTTTACCAAATAGGAATTTACAGCAACATTCCTTAGACTGGTTCACGTTATATATGTCAGAATGAGTTACGCTCATGGTCTTGACAAAGAGAATCCTAATCTATTTACCATGTTAAGTCACACTTCACTTAGAAAGAGCAATTAATTTCAGTGTCTGCATGTTATATGAATAAAAATATCCGAAGCCAATCTATGAAGATCAAAAATCAAGCTAAATTGGAAGTCTGTGACTGAAGTTACAAAGATATTTTCAAAGAAAAAAAAACTTTAATTCTATAGATTTAAGCATTCGGATGCTTGAAAATGTAATTACAACTTCTACAAACTTATTCTATTTGCTTATTCTTAATAAAACTTGTGAAAGTTCAAAGATAGAACTAGTTGCAAGCTTGCTAGGTATTCTACACTAACATGCTTCAAGAGTGGTTTGTTTCCCACACTTCCATAATAGTAACAAAAGATGCAGGTGCAGGCAGAAACAGTGAAGAAATTTAAAACTTCCAAATGTCTTAGGAAAATATGTTCATTTTCCTTCATTTCTCCAAAGGCTGTGTACCTTGTGAGGAGCTAGGATGAACCATACTGTTTTGTTTATAGAATATTACTTGTCCTCTCAAATCCTTTTCACCTGAATTCCAAGAACCAGTAAAATTTCATTGCAATAGAAATTTTGTGGCATACCACAAAAATAAATGCATTCCCTTAAAAAAGTAAATAAAAGAAAAAATAATGCCATAGACCAAAATAGATAGGAGCTTATTTGGTTACACAACTGCAGAAAAAACTGTCAGGCTTAAAATATCACTTCTGTAGCTGAAATCCAAGAGATTATGTATGATTTTCATTGACACTTTGACATATTTGGAGCTGCAAAGCTTCTAAGATTCCTAGAAATATTGTCAGGGAGAAGATACTCAATTATCATATTTCTATCATTTTACACTCCTTTCACATCTTCTAACTGAAGTTACATTTTCTTTCTCATGGAACTGGAAGGTCACCACAAGCAAATATATTTTTAGCTGTGATGCATAAACACCTTCCCAACAAAACTCTATACATGTCCACAGACAAAACTTGCTGAGGTAAAGCTTATCCATTAGGGCCACCCTGCCATAAGGATTGTGTAATGACTGTGGTGGACATTGCAGTCTTATCTTTAAGTAACAACACCAAACGTATTACGTATTCATAGTATGGTGCCACAGAACTTGTTTTCCTTTGAGATCTTGCTTTCTCAGAGAGAAAAGCAAAGTGAAAACACATCACTGTCCTTTCCAAAGTCTTGAGCAATTAGCTACAGTAATGATCAACATTAGCACGGGTATCTTCAGGTGCTGCATACCTGGAAATACTGATTTACATTTTCTCTTGTGAAAGTAGCATCTGTCCCAGCTGTATGGCTGGCTTTTCCCTTCATCTCTTTCTCGTATCTTTGATGATACTTCACCTAACAAGAAAAATAAGAAAAGGGAAAGAATCATCCAGATCAATTTAATCTTTTATACCGACATTGAATAATAAATAGTAATAAATGACAAATTTATGTTGATAATACAAGATTGTGAAAATTCCCATTGCTATCAAATTACAGAAGTCAAATGTGCCACTTCAAGATATGAAGAAAAAGAGTGATGTACCTTTTAATAGTGCACTAAGAAAAAGGAATTTACCATTTCAATCTGACTGTTAGCTCAGTGTGTCCAGTACTCCCTGCTTGTCATAGCTAATCCCTGATGCTCCAGCGCGCTAGAAAACCAGAACTGTCGGCAACGTAAATTCTGGTTTCCACAGAAGACTCCTTCCTGCCTGATCTGCCATGGGGTCACCTGCGTCCCATTAGTAAAGGGTCTTGGTCCTTAAAGACACCCTTCTCTCCAGCGCACAATGGAATTTTGGCAATCAACTTTCAAGTTTACACCAATATTTACACTACTTCTGCTGAACAGAAAACAATGCCTAGAGCCTGAGGCTGCCCTTTAATCACCATGTGTTTGCTGACACAAATGGTTTTCCACAGATCAAAGGCAAACAAATACATTTAAAATGTTTTAGACGTGGATGCTTTCGCCTGCAAATTTTCCGTTTTTTTTTTCCCCTTCAAAATTATAGATCTCCTCTGATTTTCCTTCATGACTCTTAATAGTGCTTTAAGCTGATTTCCATCAAGCTAGCACAATATCTTATCTCCTCCAATTAAAAGAGCTTTCCTTTCACCCTACAGTGACAAAATGGAATTAATTGCACATTTTGAAGCAATATTGGTGTCCTTTGACAATGCTTTTTAAAGAATACAAGAATGTTGTGGTCTTGTTCCGTTTGAAGAAGAAAAGAAAGTCAATAAGATCAGTATAACACAGAGTAAAACAAAAAACTGTAGATAAAGTGAGTCTGGGATAGAAAGAAATATTTTATACAACTATATCTATATCAGATGTTTGGGCATTGATATATAACACATATCTATACATATATGTGTATACATACACATATTTATATTATAGGTATACTTATAAAAATGCATATTCAAGAAGATAGTTTATTTGGTTCACAAAAGCCTTTTTAAAATACTAGCACACAGCTCAGTCCTGCAACAGAATTAATGAAGGAAAGGAAGAATGAACTGTAAGGACCCCCAGTGAGCATGGAGAAGGATGGTAAAGAAGAGCTCTGCAAAGTCAGCCTTCCCCTGACACCATGTCCCCTACAAGTATTGTGCCTGCTATGCAAGTTAGAGCTGTTCTCCAGCACCACTGGGTTGGAGAAAATGAAATCAAAGACCACCAGCTGTATTCTCTCTTGGTAGCATGCAACGGGAGCTTGGCTAAAAGGGAAGCTTGTGTCCACAAAAATCCATGGCATTTGATTCTCGGATAAAATGCCTATTTTTTTCCTTGTGCATAAAACCCAACTTTGACCCAGAAAAAAGAAAATCACTTCAGAAATTGCTGCATGAAGCGCACTGTTAGCATGACTCTGCAATGATCGTGGAATTTATGCAATTAAGCATAACTGTAATCCATAATCTGTGCAAAAATTTTTTCTTTTCTTCCAAAAAAAAGAAGACTTTGTTTGGACACTTACATCACTGGCTAATTCGTTGGCTCTCTTGGCTATTTGATAAGCTGGAGTGATCATAGCAGGAAAGCTGCCTTTCCCTTGACGTTGCTCAAAATCTTCTGTGTATTTCAACTGGAAAAAGAAAATCAAAACAGTTGAGGAGTAACTAGATTGCAAAGAATTATCTTGATTATCACACATTATCAACTTTTAAAGTGTCTAAGTCAGGCATTTCAAAGTTAAGACCTGTCAAAAGGTTAATGAACCACGAACTCTGGATCTACCTCCTTTGTGTAAATATTCTACAATGCAGTCTTTATTATCTGTGTCTCATTCAAGATAAATGATGAATCATAGTTATTTAAAGAAAATATTGATGTCTGTATGATAGCTGCTGCTCTATTTAAATTAGAGTTAGGTAGTTTCATGCTTTACCTTGAATGGGACCCAGTTTCTGGCTACAGAAGAAACTGGTTCTGTCGTGAATTCTGACAGCCAGCTAGTTCTATTAACAACCTAAAATTGAAAATGGCCTTTATATGTGGAAGCATTAAACATTTACTGGTAAAGTGTACCACGGTAACATACACTTCAAGTGTCTGCATTTCAAATGCTAATTTTCACTTTTCTTTGCGTTCGTATCTTTAAGTAATTTAGATATGTCTTAAGAGTAACTTGTAGAGTCAAGAAACACCTTTCCTCTATTTACTTACATCACTTGAAAGCTTTCCTCCAGCCTTTGAATGAAGGATATCTGGAGTGTCTACAACAGAGGTAAACTTCGAAACTCTTTCTTCATGTCCCCGCTTATATTCTACCTGCAGGGGGAAAGAGGTATAAAATATATGTTACAAATAATAATTAGCAAATATCTATTTACGGTCAAGAAGGCTTTAATAGAAAATGGGCAACAACAGTCAGGACAATCCCAACTGCACAGTCAAGCTATTGGCGTTAAGGTGCAATTTCTGTAAATGCCAGCAGGAGACAGAAATGGCCCCAGATAATCAAATTACACTAATGTGAGCCATAATTTTCATTAAAAATGTTGTAAGAATAGTTCTATCGGCACAAAGTACTAAGATCACACTGCAATGACAATGGAAACTGTTTTCAGAAACCAATGCACTATTTTAAAATTATTTGTACAGGGTTTACTTTTACTTAACTTATTTTTAAAGTAACCATTTTTTGTGCATGTATGATTTAAAGTAAATTGTTTTCAGTTTAATATTACTTGATTTCTTACAAGAAAACTTACAAAGAGAAGGAATGTTATAAACAGATTAATAAAGGCTTAAAATGAAAAAAAGGTAATTAAATAAACATTTTAGAGTGGTTCACTGATTTCTTTTAGGTTGTCAAAAATTACTATATGTTTCAGAAAATGTTTATATTGTCATTTATCCTATGTGCTTGCCTTCCCAAACTAAGTGATTTGCTAAAATCTCTTCGTGTGTTATGTTAAGGTTTTCTCACTTTGCAGAATGTTTATCACAGAATCCACTGTTTAAGGCAAACAACCTAAACCCAGGACTCTCCAACGTGATGAATTCTAATATACATTTCAGAAAACTGAGACTTACATTACTGCTTAGTTGAGTGGCTCTCTTAGCAACCTGATAACCTGGAGTGATCATTGCAGGAAAGCTGCCTTTGCCTCTGCGTTCTTCATATTCTTCTGTATATTGCAACTAGAAAAACAACATTTTTTGTTTTGTTGTTATACAAAAACACACTGCTGTTTAATGCCTGCTTCTTAAAGGTATGGGTCAATTCATATTTTTTAAAAGTAAACAAATTAAAGCACATACACTTTATATGATTATTAGCTGGAAATACTTCTTGCATATGATAGAAAATATTCTCCATTCCTATCAGTTTTCCACTGTTAATTGTCTATGTTGACTGGGTCACTAATGCACTGTCTGTACACTGACAATCAGGCTTATTTAGAAGTGATTTCCATCAGTCATGGAAAGATATTCCATGAAAGGTCTATTCTATAGAAAAGAAGGTCTGCTTTCCATTATGAGTTGTGCTCTATGGAGGTGATCAGAACTGAATACTATATCAATAAATAATCAAGATCACCTCAGATATCATTGGTCAGTAATTGAAATCAATCTAAATTACATAAGTACATAAATGTATGATTTCCAGAACAGGAAACAACATTGTCACATTATTAACTATTTACATAGCTAACTGTTGATATTCAGAGAAGGAAACACGTCAGTCTCTCCTTTGGTAACAAATCATTTTAAGTTTAAATTTAGTACCCTGGAAAGTCTTCAGAATATGATAACAAATGAAAATAAAGCTATTTCAAATACCAGTCCACTTACATCATTTAAATTCCTCTGTGCCTGAGCCATCCGGACCATCTGAGGATCTGGGATGGCTCCTAAATGGAATGATTTTCCCTCCTCATAGGCAGCATAGTAGGCATTCTACAAAACAAAAATTGAACAACAAGCCAACTCTACCAAACATTTGATGGGGAAAAAGGAAAAACATTCAGTGTCCTAGGAGAAAGATGATTCAGTGCAACAAGGTCTACACTGTATGTGTCTCTCGAGTGCCAAGGCAGAATACGTGTGGCCAAATGTGACATCAGCATGCCAGGGTCAAGACGTCAGCACCTTAAGCAAGGCTCAAATGATTCCCCCTGGGAATCAGATCATTTCTGGTTAGGCTTTGGTGTCAGCAGGAGGGAGACATTGAACACGGCTGTGCATTGTACAGATACGTTCTCCTGTCTCCATCTTCCGATTCTTGCACCTGAAGCTATAATCAAGCTATATTCCTTGAAAAACATAGCCAAATGAAAAGCAATGGCTTTTCTAAGACTGAAATGCTGTGAGAAAAACCCTAACAATCAAAATACCAATGCCAATACTTGGTAACCTACAATTGGGCAGCTCTCCTGCAGGCAATTTCTTGGAGACTTAAGGGATATTCCTTACTTGGTTGGCCAGCTGCTGGGCTTGACATGCAGCTTCGATGTCTCTGGACCTCACATCCCATTGAAAGACTGATTTGAATCGTTCACCTTCCTCTCGATATTTTATCTAAAAAAAAGACTTGATATTAATAGTTTGTTAGAACACACACACACACCCCTCCCAAAAAGAATGCAAAAGTGTACACAGACAAGGTGAATAAAGTCTCTTGGTCCAAGACTCTGGATGAATTACAAGGATTCAGGATGAATTACAGCAAAGAATAGGGAGTCATGCACTGGTTCTGCTGTTTTGACTTGCAGTTTCCACCATAAGAAATCCACTTCAGTGCCTGCAGCTTCACCATCACATTGAACCAGTTCAAACACAGGCTACTTCCAAAAAATACCTCCCACCATATGAGATAACCATTCTTATGGCTAACACCTCCAGGAAAGTAGACATATGGCAAGGCTGATCAGGGAACTGGTATGAAGGTTTTTGCTGTGTTAGTTTTCAGCCAAGTCAGTTCCTTGGTTTGGCTCACTGCAAAACATCAATGCCAAGACAAGAGAGGCAAAGCAACAACCTAACTGCACAGAACTAATTCTTTGGCTTGCAGTATCAACCTGGCTCATCTTAAGACAATTTACTCCAGTCATAGTGTTTACCTGTGCATTAATTAGATCTCAAATTAAAACAAACCAGCCTAGTTTTTCATGCCAATGACAATTTCACCCTGAAGGCACATTTGTCTATGATATGAATGTAGAAACCTAGGGACTATAGCAAGCAAGCCTGATCCACCAAATTTCATCATTCCACAAGGAAATATCAATCCCCTTCCGGCAGCCTGCAAGAACTCTCCATCTTTTCCTCCTCCTGCCTCTTTTCACCAACATCACTTCCAGCCTGCTCATGTGCAGAAAGGCCTCGTAGCCTGTAATTCCAACCACCCAAAGACTACAGAACTACTGCCTCTCTGCCTCCTGTTCTTGGAGAAGCAGTCTATGGAAAGAAATAAGGATTAGCTTCAGCCCTTAGGCCAATATTCTATGCTCCAAACCATACAGCCAGCTTCTACCTAAGATATTTGCTATTACTGGAGCTGCATGTTTGTACAGGAATAGTATATTTTACCTGAAAACTAACATGAAGTTCTGAAAGAATAATTTGATCCTTAGTTAATACTTTGGGAGAAAATACTCTATTACGATAAAAAATATCCAATAAATATTAAGCAGAACATATCAATCAACCGTTAGATGAAAGAAATGTTACCTGGTGCATAATATCTTACCCTCCTGTTTCCCTCCAGAGTGTCCATTAGGCATCAAGATTGTGTAAATGCAACTGAGCAGCATATTTAACTGTGGCTCATCATTTTCCTACTCTTTCTAACTTCAAAAAATACAGCTTGTAGAGATCCAAAATAAATCAAAGCTCTGTTATGCAATGCACTCTACAGATGCAAAAAATACAGTCCCTGCCCTGAAGGGGCATGATCCAAACTGAATGGATAGAAAAATCACTAGACATACATACCATTATCCCAATTTTATATATGAAGAGAAGGACAGAGACATTATTGATTTGTCTACTCATACAAATCTGCATAAGTGGAGGAAACTGAATTTTTATCTCTGCATTCTAGTCTGTGTCTCAACAAAAGACTTGCATGAGAGCGGTTTGTTAGGATTTAAGAAATGTATTAAATTTTTTGTATAAGAAATCTTACTACCTATAAAATAATAGAGTAGTTATTTTGAGACATTCGCTCAGGTTAGCCTTATTTTATACATTTACTGATGAAAAAGTTTTCCTAGATTGAAAACTTCTACGAAGGCACTCATTTAAGTGAGTACTGCAGAATCAGCCTCTTTACTAACCATAGCAATTTCTCTCTGGAGCTGAAGCTTTTTGCATGATTGAAAAGCACAGAAGGTGCTCTAGGTGTAAGAACCAAGTGAAAGTGATCTTTGAGCTATATTTTTCCTGGCATGTATACTCACAAACACTGGAAGTATCAGAGTCTCATATCACTGTCTAAAACCAGAAATAGACCCTGCAGTAATCCCAAACTCATTCTTGGCCAGATCTGTCACACAGTTTAAAGTAAGCGTCATAGCCACTGCTCAAAGTTTACAGCTAGTGATGTTGCAAAATCTGAGGTATAAAAATACTGAGCAACAATGATGAAGAAAAGATACACTATCTGGTAAGGGCTATGAAATATCTAGTCAACTTCATACAGTTGATAGAAAAACAGGAATTAATGTAATACATTATAACAAAAATAATAAGACTTCCTTGTCATATTTTAGGATGATGGTTGATCATATTCAAACACACTATTTTGGTTACTAAATATAGTTATGTAATGAATGGTGCTATTTCAGAGCACCAAAACACATGACATTCAAGAAAGCAGCATTACACACAGAAATGAGCTAGATACCCGTTATTACTGCTCTGCTTCTGTTCTTTCCTCATTTTACAGAGTTCATATTAATAAAAGCTTGAAACAAATGTATCTGGAGAAAAACAATACAAGAATGACAAAAGAATGACATTTGAAAAGAAAAAAGTCTTTGAGCGCCCCTGGAGGTTTGCAGATGCACAGCAGATTTTTTGAGAGGATCAGTGCAGCTAAATGGGCATGAAAAGCTATTCCACATTTTAACAAAATATCACCAGCAAGTCCATGTAGTTCCCTGGACCTCACATTTTCCTACAAAAGGGGAATAATATATAACAAATATAAGCTTTTTTTCTTGGTTTCTCATGAGAGAATCAATTTGGAAAACTACAATTCAAACCTGTGTGCAAATTCTACTGCTCTGAAAGACCATCGCAGGTAAATGAAGAATCCATATTTTTATTTTTGAAACAAAACCCAGTGTGACATCAAAATGTAAAACAAAGCTGAACACCTTTGGCCCCCAAACTTCTTACCTCACTTATCATTTCTGATTGTTTTTTTGCATTTATGTTTATTGGGGTTTCAAATACACTTGTAAATGTGTTGTTTTTTGGATTATGCCTAAAAAAAAAAAAGGAAAATGTAAAAGGACATTAAGGATCTATCAGACAGTTCACCAGAAAGGTTCTCTGAGTACTCAGTATCACACTGCCAACCTCCACCCTCCTACACATAAGTTACCCCCCGCTCATACATACATCTCAGATTACATTCATATTATTATTATATGGAGAAGATGCCTAGAGCAAAATTAATTTTAATGATCATCATATCAATGCTGTGTTTCTAATAACAAAAGAGAATAATAGAATAAAAAACAACTGTCATCTCTCCTTTTTCAGCTGACAAATTTGACAGGAATTGATCATTATAATATAAAAACTTCCTAGAACAAACCAACTCCAAAATCTGCATTTTATACATTTTTCCCCATGATTAGCTCAACCTTGTTAACTCTTAAAGACTGATGTGAAAAGCACTACATTTTATGGTGGAGTTTTTTTTCTTACCAAAATACTGAAATGGCACTTAATTTGGTAACTTTTATCATTCTGATCAAGATAAGAAATGAGGAAGCTCTATGCACATTTGTGAGAATTTCCCATCATTTTTGATTTGTGTAAATCCAGCCTGATGCACTAAAGTCACTGACATGACCATTTCACATCACAGGTGGGACCAGACTGAGTCCAAATAGGGATTTTCTATCACACTAAAATTACTTGATATTTTAAACTTCTACCAAAAATAAGCAAACAGAAAACCACTTACGCTTGACAGTAGGGCTTTTTCTCATGGCTAATAAAGTTATTTACTGTTAACATCATCTTGCATATTTCACAGTGAAAACAGGCTTTATGCCATGTCTGCAAATACCAAAAAAAATAGAAGTGAAACCCAGGTTATTTTTAATTCATTACCATCCTGTTTAAAATCTCACTATTGATCCCTTCCATTTTCTTCATGAATAACCATTCTCCTTCAAGGAATAGGTCTATAATTAACTCATTTTGATTCCGGTCCCAGTTACAGGTTGAGAACTTTTTGGAACGAGGAGATTTGCACTGTGTTAAAAGCGTCAATCCACACATTTATTACAGCCCAAAATAATAAAGAAAGAGAACTGACCTGATCTATACAGTTAATCTTCTCAGCAGGGTAAACCCCATAGCCACATCTAGCACACGGCTGCACATTCATCTTGAAATCCACAGAGTGAAAAATATATAGGTTTACACAAAAGGTTCAAAGAGTTGGAAAGTGACTTTATGGCCTGCACGAAGCACACGCTAGACACTCCAGTCAGGGCCCTTTGCTGTGGTCAATGGCTCCCATTAAAGCCGGGATTTGAAGTCTGGTGCTCCCTTTGCTGACCTTCTGTTTCAAAGTCAGCTGCAGGCTGGCTTTTAAGGCT